GTTGTGGGACGCCATACCAAATTCCCAAGAAACACACCAAAATTTCTACTATTTATCTGTGCTTTACTCAGTCAAGTCTAATGAGCCTAGTTTTACACTGGCTATATGGCAGGCACAAGGTTGTTAAAAGTATTTGGTGGTTTTTATGGATCTTTAGGCTTCTGCAGAGATACTCAAAGGATACAGGGTGAGGGTGACAATATCTCCACCTGTCACCCCTATAATTAGCAAGGTCTCTTGTTAATTTTTAAATATATTGCTACTCTTTTTAAAACACAAAAGCAATAACTCTTAGACAAAAATATAGTGGATATCAGAATAAAAGGGGGAGGGGAGAGAAAATGGGTAGAGGGGGCCACTTAGATAGTCAAAATGGCACTAGAACTATGGTGGTGGTGGGTGTGGTGTGGTGTAGACACACATTGAGGTGTGCAACTCTACTCCAAAACTTATGCAGAATTGTAAATTAATGGTAAATCAATAAAATTTTATTTAAAAATTTTTATTAAAATTTCATTCTTAGGAGCTTTTGAATGAAAACTGTGGAAACAGATGATCTCCAACATCATCTATGTGGAGTTGCAGAATAAATGAGTAAAGAAAGAAACCAAAAGATATCTCTCATCTTTTGAATTTTCTAGCAATCTTGATATTAGCAACAGGCAAGGGAAAAAACAGATGGGGGCAGTAAAAACTCCAGAGTGACAATTTAAAGAGACGCAGTCTATTCCTGCAACTAATTAATCTTGCTTGTTTAATTCTTTAAACTTTCTGCTCTGCTTAACAGATTTTTGGCACTGCCTTTATGGTCTAAGTGCCTTACTTCCCATTTTCTCTTGTCATACTGTGGTCAGACCTGAACTGGAAATACAATCCCTGCCTTAGAAGTCGCTGTACTATATTCTTCAGGTCCACAATGATGGGTTGCCTAAGCTTAAAATATTTCTGCTCCTTCTGAGGATGCTGATAACATCAGCACCTGATGACACCTGAGGGTTTTTTTTTTTTTAACACAGAAGGGAAAAACTACTCCAGAATTATTACCAATTTTCTTGTGATCAATTATTCATAGACTGCCTGTGGCCCCATCGACCTGAGAATGAAGAAATTCTGCCCTTCTCCTGCATGTTTCCAGATTTCCTTCTCTCCAAAATATTCTTCTAGCACTGGGCCCTTGAAAAGAACCTTTTCTAAGAACCAACTCTTCTGTCTTCCTGACGTGGTGGTACCCACTAATGAAACACTTCCTTTGTGGAAACAGTCTTGTGGTTCAGAGTCTGGCCTTATGAGTATGAGCAATACAACTCAGTTAGGTCAGCAACAATTCCAAGTGAAGCTCAGCAGGTACAGAAGTATCAGTTATTTATTTAATTGATATTAGAGGTCAAAATTCAGCTGTCGTCTCTTCTTTTGACCATGGCATTTAACATATCCCAACCTAGGCTGCATGATAAGAGAGAGAACAGACCATGATAACAACCTTATATAATAGAAACTCTCTTATCTGATCTTACCATAACTAACCCTTCAGATTAACCAATGGTCTCTGTTTCCCCTGTAAGTATAGACCAAGTGGCTAAGGAACACTGACCACCCAAGGCACACTGCTCTGACCAGTGGAGTAAATTGCATTTATCTGTAAATTTATTTATGCCCGGTATACTTGTTGTAATTACAGAGGTTAGTTAAGCACTAAATGGATTGATGAACCCTCAATATAATATAAAAATAATTATTTCTATGAAGAAATATTTGAATTATTTGAAAAACAAAGTTGATTTATCCAACTTTTTTTTTAAAAGATTTATTTATTTATGCATGCAAGCACTAAAGTACAGGCCAGAGGTATGCAGAGTGAGAGGATTCACCAGAGACAGAGTGGGGAGCAGAACAGGCAAATTTACTGAAATACACTGCTGAGGGGAGCAGTGGGCGAGACAGGAGAGGTCTGCTGCACCATGTGGGTAGCTCCCCAGCCGGGGATTGAACTTGTGCTGCAGTGGCTGCAGATAGCTCCACAGCTGGGGCGTCTTAACCCCTTGTGCCACCAGGGAGGCCCCATCCAACTTTATTTTGAATTGAAATATTGCAATCAAACTAGGAGTCAGACAATTGTTGATTGAAAAGAAAATATCATAAACATCTAAAGGCACTCTTCACCAATTTGAAAAGTTTATTAGTCCTTTAAGAGTAATAGAAACTGGACATCCCTGGATAAAGCTTTATGAGTATACATGATAACGGCATCAAACTCCAATGAGGAGCTGTACTCAAAAGCCAGCCTGTAGTCTTATCTCAAGTTGATGGTAAATGAACACAAAATAATTTCTTTTAAGTCAAAAATGTTTAGGTCATGATTTCTTAATTCTAGTAGAAACATTCATATTGATTCTATTATTTTTCTAGTTGAATTCCCATTCCTGATAGGACAGAGTGCTTCTATAGTAATAGTTTTGATTGTTGCTTACTCTGCACATTTATTTCTTTATGCCTTGCTATAAAATGTGCCTTTTTAAATGGTAGTATTATTCTCATTTTATAGAAGCATTATCTAAAATTTAGAAGTGTTCAATGATCTACTCAAAGTTATACATCCATACCAAGAAATAAATAAAAAAATTAGGGGTAAAATTTTTTTCTAAATAACTCTATAATAGCATTCACTAATTTATTCATTTTTAAAAATTTTCATTGAGAAACAGGAACTAGATCTCAAGATTATGCAAAGATTTTTTAAAATACATCATCTCTCATCAGGAAAGGAAACAGTAATTAAAACAGATAATTAAAATACAGCATAGAAAAGTTTCGGTGCCATTAGAGTTATAGATCATTTCAGAGAAATCTTTCAGGGTGGTAGACAAAACACTCAGATTTCTAATTTTGAAAGTACATAAAATAATGCCTATGCAAGAGATAGACATGAGTCTGAAGGTATTTAGCAGGAACATGGCATGTAACAGGGATTCAGCAAGTTGTTGCTATTCCTGCTGATTAGGCTATCAGATCTGTTTTCTTTGTTATCTTCTGTACAAAGTCAAGCAGTTCAAAATAAAAGCAGGCAAATTAATCTAAGAACCCCGGTGTGCAATGCACCGAACCTTGTTCCTCTTAGCATCCTGTGCTGGTGCTATGTAGTGGCAGCCCTTGCGTATCATCTCCCAGTCGGCCTGATTACACCGGGATGCAGGAGAGGCGCAGCCAGGGAAGAGGGAACAAAGCTTCCCACTCTCTGAAATGACTTTTAAAAACTCATCGTATTAGTGGGAGGAGGGTTTGCAGTAAGCAGTTTTTTCCAGACCTGCATTTATTTCGAAGCGTTAGGGTAGACCATTCCCCCTGTATTTATCTTTCCTGTATTTTTTATTAGGCAAAAAAGAAAGTGTTTTTCACTCTCAACTTTCTTGTAGATAGAACTTTTTTTTTCCATTTTTGTTCCCACCAATTTTGGCTCACTATTGCTCAGATGGTTTTCTCTGTTTTGGTCACTAAGATGATAGTTCATTACTGGGTTTCACATTCACAAGTAAACTGAGACATGGGATCTGAAAGTATATCACACTATGTTCAAAGCTATAGTTATCTGGAAGGATTCATTTTCATCATTTGGAAAACTAAATTGAAAAATTTAGTAAAGATAATAAAAAAGAATATTGGATGCAGGCACTTAATGCTAACCATGACTCCAAACACAGATTTCATCAACCGGCAACATCTCATTTCTTCAACAGTTTAGTCAGAAAGCATCACTTTCAGTCTTTGATTAACATTGAAAAAGAAACTGGTGCCTCTACCCTTTTCCCTCAACTTTCTAGGTAGATGTTTTGCAATTACAAGAAATGTTTGTTTAGGAAGCAACTTAGGGAATGACTATGAAGCAAACTAAGAAGCCGTTAAGAATTGCTGTCACCCTTGTCGTGGAGGAAGCCTAAGAATGTTTATGAAAAGAAAACTCTGGAAGTTCTAGGCATGAATGGAAAGAACCCAGATAAATACATTTCATAGTAGGAAAGGTACTAAGTAGCAAACAATCCTTTGCAGAGAGGAAAAAACAACCTTAGTAGGCTTGAGATTAACAATAGCTCCTAAGAGAGCCAGTGAGTAAATGTGCACATGTAACGCTCAGTATCCTTTCCTTCCTCGGCACCATCACGGCAAACACCTGCTGAGCACTTTGACTAATCACGCTTATTATCACAACCACCTCTTCAGTAGGAAACAGAAACTTTGATCTATTAAATAACCTGCCCCAGGGTAACAGACTTTTATGCGAGGAAGATACAGCTGTGTCTGATTCCAAACCCAGCCTCTCCACTGCTCTACTAGCCTGCCTCAAAGATATAACCGAGAGCTGATACGTCGAAAATTAGTTTGGACCTAGAAAAAAGACTTTTGCAAAACCTTTTCAGTAAAATGCCTCAATCCTCTTTCAGAAAGACACCACCTGAACTTCTTTTCCTCCATTGCTGAACAGCGTCTTTTGGTTTTCACATGCAAGGAGAATAATACTGAATTGATGCAAATCTCCTATTCACCATGTTTTCACTGCTGCAAAGTCTCCCAGTCCATTAGCTATCAGGATAGTTCTCTGTTTCTCTCCGAGTTCAATCCCGCTTAGTTTACGATCAGAGAATGGAACTAGGGATTCCAACAGTGTCTATCAGCGCTGACTCTCTTGAAAGTCCTCCCATATTTGCTGTGAACTGAAAAACTGCTCCAGCACATAGGGGGCCAATGCCTATATTGATGCCATATTCGTGAAACAAAAAAGAAAAGAAATATCATTCACATTTTTCAGGGACAAGGTAACTTTCTACTTAAAATTTTCAAATGTGCAAATGGATTGACTTCAAGTTTAAAGAAAAGATGAAATTGGTTTACTGACCTGGCTCAGTATGCCCTCACATCTCATTTTCATCCCCAATGAAAGCGAGTCATGGTCTTTAACATATTTTTGCCCAGTTTTTTTTCCTTTTCATTCTTTCCCTCTTTTGTTACAGATAACCCAGAGCTGGCTCCATTCTGGTTGGCTACAACACTCCCATCTTTGTTATCTTTCACTGAGTTTCTGTGTCAAAGAGGCAACATCTTTATCATTGCAGGCAACATCTTGATGTTTTCTGATGATTTACCAACATGCTTGCTGAACAACAAGAAAAGGTGCTCAGGTAGGAAACTTTAGAGAGATTGGGTTTTCCTGTTTACATAGTTTACACAACAGTTCTATCTTGACACACCAGCTTTTAGTTTTGTGATGTACCAGAGGTTGACTTTGAAGCAGTGGTATGCTATGAAACTGAGTTCAAACAAGATTTGATCTTGTTTTCCAGGAGATAAAAACACCCTAAAAATCTTGAGTCACTTTTGAATTGTGATTAAAGGACTCCCACCTACTTTCCTACTGGATTCTGAAGTCCAGCTCATTCTAAACGTTTTCTTCGATAGGCTTTTTGAACTATTAACCAGCCTGTGGAATCAGTCAGCACTTTGGGTCAGAACCAGTGTGCTATCAATTTTTGCTTACTGATGCAAATTGATCTTGAACAAGTTGCAGGAACAAAAAGCTTTCTTTAATATGACACTCACTTGTGGTTTACAGGTGTTAAAAGCATTTTCCCCAATAAAGGGACACCCAAAATACATGCAATTAGCACTTTGACAATTACATAAAAAAACGGATGGATGGTTTATCTGAGTAATTCTGGAACTCAAAACTCTAAACCCTCTAAAAACTTAATTGTCATTTTAAGTTTGTTTGTTTTTTAAAGATTTATTTATTTATTTATACAAGCACTGGGTGCCATGTGGGACCCTCACCCGGTGGCTGGGGATCCAACTGGCGCTGCAGAGGCTGCAGGCAGCTTCACAACCCAGCGCTCAACTGCTGCGCCACTGGGGAGGCCCATATTTTCATGTGTCCTTAATAGGAAATATTTTACATGTACCAGTGTTCAGCATCAAAAACATGATATCCACACAATGGCTTACATGACCCTCTAAAACACCCAGTCAGATAATTTGATCAACTGTTACAAATGCCTTTTAAGTCAGAGATTAAAAAAATTATTCAGATATGAGTCATCATCCTAGTGCAATGAATTAAGCTGACCACTTAAGAGGATGTAAGAGTTGACGAAAGGAGCAGTTTGGTTCTCAAGGATGGTTCTTAATGAATCAGTAAGAACACTCAAGGAGGAAAGAGAACATGGAAAAAGAAGATGTTACTATCTGAATAGTAAAGTAGAATAGGATTTTGTAGCATTTTCTGTCATTTGGCTTTGCCTCATTGAAAAAAGCAATTCTATAATAATCTTAATTCATGTCCCCTTTCAAAAACTGTTTCAGAGAAGCCTTATAGAATTGTAAATAGGTCAGCTGAAGGTTGTGCAAGACACTCCTATCCAAGTAGGTCAGGTCAGGGTTGTGTTGTGCACAATTCTGCTTGTGTAAGGAGGAGCTCAGCTCTCACAGTGGAAATCTATAAAACATTTGAAAAGGAGGGGAAGCAAGCTTTGAATTACATATCCCTCCTTCCATTCTGAGTTACATTTCATTCAAATGGAACCACAAGACCAGCCAGTCAGTGGAATGACAAGACCAGCCAGTCAGTCTTTAAATCAGGATGGAAACAGAAGACAACAACAATAACAGAAAAATCAACATTAACGCAATATTGCACTGTGGCACCAAATCATTTAAAATTCTAGCAAATTAGGTCACCTAGGGGGATGTGTTGTTAGGTACTGTGAATGAATAAAATACTCCCTAGGTCATTCCATGGTTAAAAAAGCAAATGAAAAACCTTACAGCATATGACTAAGGGAACAACTTATTTACAAGGATTCATAATTACTTTAAAACCAATAACATTGATGTGTCAATTTGATATTGTTCCTGTGTACTGCAACTCACTAGATCTAAGCTGACACTAATTATATGGTTTTTCCAATTTCAGAGATGTTAAGTTTTGGAGAAAATAATCTTGTGCAATATGTCCTTTGATCAGAAGCACTTTTGTCACTCTAGTTACTATAAATGTATGTCTTTGAAATTTGTAAACAATGTAATTATACTCTTTGGAGAATATTATTGATATATTGCTTATTCATGTCTTTCATTCAGAAAGAATTCTTTATTAAGCCATACAAATTGTCATGTACTGTGCTATGAAATTATAAGCCAGGCCGTGCAAGTTGCAAAGCACTTAACTTGGGTGTGCCAAATCAGCGGGTGTCCCTCCTGATCTGTGGATCAGCTTTTCTCCTCCTGCAGTACAGTTTGCTTATATTTCCAGGCACCGACAACAGCTTGAGAAACCTCAACTTCTAAATGGCCTTACAATTCTTAAAGTGCTGGGGAGAAGGTAGGGTGAGACTTCATCTTCCTGATGCTTTCTCAACAAATAGAGGTTAATGTTTTATCAGAGAGGAGTGGGATTTGACATTTATTGCCCAATATCCAGTCAGTATTAGGTTGGAAGAGAAATTATGATGGATCAGGAGCTAGTATCCCAATTTCCTTGGTGACAGTTCTCACCATCTTATTCATGCTGGCTTGGGGACTCCTTGTCTAATTGGTAAATGGCATTTCGTTCCCACAAACTTATTTGATAGGAAGACTGAATATTTACACTTGATTGGCATTTGACACTCTCAAGAACACCAACGTTTGCAGAATTCTCCTTAGCAAACCATACATAAAGAATATACTACCTATCAATATAAAAAAAGTTATTTAAAAAAAGTTAATGTAGATGACAACAAAAACGAGACAATGCATCTGTCCTAATTCATGGGTAGAATCCTCCCTTGGGAAAGAAGTATCTTAGAAAAGAGGGAATCAGAAAACTGATAATTGGGATGTCTGGATGTCTCAATATATTTCAATAAAATAAACATTTTGGGTGATAGTACCTGAACATTTCAGATCACATATTTGTTTAGGTCTAGTAGCTTTGCCATAGAAACCAAATTAAAATCTGTTCTGTGAACACGCTTTGACTCCCTACACACATACACACACACACACACACTCAAAATGTATTAAAGATGTAGATATAAGACCTGCAACAATAAAATATATAGAAGAAAACATTGGTGATATATTTCATAACATCAATGAGAAAGGTGTTTTTGGAGATTTGACCCCTTTGGCAAGGGAAATAAAAAACAAAAATAATAATACCTCAAATTGCAAATCTTTTGCACAGCAAAAGTATAGGTGGGTTACAAAATAGCCTACTGAATGAGTGAACACATTCACACATTATATAACTGACTAGGGGTTAATGTCTAAGATATACAAAACATTTATTCAATTTAACAACAAAAAAACCTGACCAAACAACTAAATCAATAAATAGGCAGCAGATCTGAATAGGTTATTCTCCAAGGAGGAAAAATATTCAACATCACTTTTAGTAAGGGAGATGTAGTCAAAACCATAAATAGATGATATCTAATTATGTGACCATAACACATAATTGAAAAGACCCCAACAATGAGTTTTGGAGAGGATGTGGAGAAATAGGAACCCTAGTACATTGTTGGTGGGACTGTAAATAGATGCAGCCATTTGGGAAAACAATCTGTACCTACCTTAAAAAATGAAAAATTGAAATACCTTAAGGCCCAGAAAGTTTTCTCTTTGGCATCTAAGGAACATAAACTCATCAACTCAGAAGATTGTATTTTTCACAATGCTCACTGCAGCATTATTTATAATAGCTAGGTTTTGGAAGCAACATTAGTGCCCACTGATAAAGCATTGGATAAAGACGTGTTATAACCACACAATGAATACTATTAAGCTGAATGTGAAAAAGAAATAAGGAAGTGTTACCATTTACCACTAGGTGGAAAGAGCTTGAGGGAATTATATGTAATAAAGTCAGAAGGAGAAAGACAAATACTGGACATATATATATATATATATATATAACTATATTAAGTGATATATATATATAATATAGTTATATAGAATATATATATAATATAGTTATATAGAATAAAATATAAATAAAATATATTTTATATATAAAATAAGGAACCATAGCAAATGAATTGACAAGGCAAAATAATTACAAACCAGTGGATAGTCATAGGCAAAGTGAGGTTTCTGAGGTTAATTGAGGGGAGGGAGAAAGTGTCATAGAGTTTTAGTGGTAATGGGAAAATAAAATAGTATGAAAACTGAAAAGATAAGAGGGCTAAGCGATAACTCTTCAAAGGGTGTATATTGATAAAAGGGGCATGTAAATTTCATTTTTGTTCTTATACTTGAAATAACACCTGTACTATACATTTTCTCATTAAAAGATTTATTCAAGTAAAGAAAAATTTTATCTTTTCCATCATGAATACAAATCCTAAGTTGTTGGATCCTAGTGTATCTCAATGTAACTTTATGGGCAAAAGGAAAAGAATTCACTACTTGACTTTATCTCAGTCTTACCTTACATCAATAATTTAACTTCAGTTCTCAAGCTTGTTTAATACTTTATAGGTTTATTCAAAGCTGAGCAATTTCAGAGTGAAATCAGAATTAGAAAATAATCTGGGGAACAATGTGTTCCGATTAGAAACAAGAGGAAAATATCTATTTTGAATTTTACAAAGAGAAGGAATTAGAAACTTATGCCCCACTCCATTTCTAAAATGATTAAAGCATTACCCTGGACTGTAAAACCAGGACTGTGGCTTGGAAACAATCTTTGATATTATCTGAAAATCTTCAAAACAAAATGCAAGTGTGGCTGTATTTTTTTCTAGCTGAATTGTCGTATGTGTATTTTAGGTGTCTGATTGTGCTCAGATGTGGGTAAGTGGTGGGGAGAAAAAATAATGTTTCTTAACTCTGCGGATAAAAAGGCTTCAAATTAGGTGCAACTCACATACTTTGGTAGTCTGCCCCACATTCTGTACCCTGACGGGGGATAGACATTGCTCATTTTGTGTTTATTTCTTCAAGCTTTGAAGAGAATGCCATTACATATCGGTGGCAATTTCTGAGTCATCTGAAGAGAAATTGGTGATACCCCTTCACCAAGCCCTCAAGAAGAATTGATCACGTTTATGGTGCCTGTGCTTACAAACAGTTAGATGTGGAAACCTCAGAACAGGTCCTTCTTGGCCACGATCATGACATTAGCCTCATGATCATTTTTTTTCCTGCTGAAAGTAATCAAACTATGAGGTAGTCTGGGGACACCAATAAGCTAGACAAACATTCACACTAAAGTCATTTTTAGAGGAAGACCATGCCCAGAAAACATTGAAGTTTCATGGATTATCTAATAGGCGTATTTTGTTTTGATGCTACACACACTTTGTTTAATTTAAACTTACAAAACTAAGGTCTTTCCAATTTCTTTCCACCTAAATATACTTACGCACACACACACACACACACACACACACACTTTTACATATGATATCTGACATGTGATGTTGACGCAATTTTCCTTTTTTGATGCTTGTTTCTTTGCCTTTCTCACCCATGATCACCTCCTACCCTCTAAATCCTGGTTAATAACTTAACCTGCATTATCTTGGATCTCGTATTTGCCTGTGTGTTCATAGAATCATATCTAAGAGCGTTGTGGGTCTGACAGCACAGACATGATCCTGGTTTTTAACTATGTACTTGTGTAACCTTTGACCTTTTCCATGAGCCTGCATCATCTATATTAAAAAATTGACAATAACTTTTTGCAAATATAACAATTACTTTCCACCCTCAAATCTCCTGGGCCATGGCTGCCATGTTAACACTGACTTTACCATGTTAGTGTTTCTCCAAGCAGCACAGCTTGCTTTTTGAGGATATGAAAATGCAGTGATGTCAATAGGGGTTTATCTGACGAGCGAATATTTGACACACTAGAGTGAGTCAGTGTCATAGGGCAACTTTGAACTTTACAACACAACCATAGTTTGAGCTGTGATAATCATCCCATAGTCACAATAAGATTCCCCGACACTAGAACAGTGTGTTAAAAATCACAGATGATTCAACTTCTTGAAATATGAGTTAGAGAGCTGGGGAGCAGGTGAGGAACATCTCAGTTTGAGTCCATGCTAGATTTGCTGCTGCCAAGGTTGGTGGGTGGAGGATGGTGGTTTGAAGGGGTGAGGTAGGCTGCCCTACCTCTTAGGAATAGAAATGGTGCCTCCCTACCACCCACCAGTTCCTGACAATACGCCCCCCTCCCCCAGGGCAAGAATCCCCACTACTTGAGCAATCCATTGTGTATACAACTTACTCATAGGAAACATTAGAGGCTAAATAGAAAACATAGGAAGTTTTAAACAGGCTCTGGAGGTTAAAAACATGACATTTAGGGCCTCCCCAGTGCACAGTGGTTGAACGCTGGGCTGCGAAGCTGCCTGAAGTCTCTGCAGCGCCGGTTCGCTCTCCGGCCGCCGGTGAGGGTTCCACAAGGCGCGCAGATCTCTCCTGCCGCACCTGCTGCTGCCCTCAGCAATGTACTTGGTCAGTCTGCCTGTTCTGCTCCCCGCTCTGGCTCTGGTGAATTCTCTCACCCTCCCGCACTTCTGACTGCACCCAGTGCTTGTATAAATAAATAAATCTTTAAAAAATATATATAAAAAAACAAAACATGACATTTAAATCTTTTTTTTCCTAGGTGTTACCATCTTATGGATCTAAATGACTTGATATTAAGAGCAATAATGCCAACTTCTCTGGTCCTTGAACCCATGTGCTCTCTCAGGACTACCAGCCTCCCAAAAATGTTGACAAGTACTTGGAGGAAATTCTTGGGGGAGTGGTCCTCATATGTGCTCACAAGCATGAGGTTAGCCAGCAAAGAATCTTTTTTTTTCCTACTTCCCACTGACTTTGCCTTCTTTCTCTGGCATAACCATTTCTGTCTGGAATATTTATCTCCTGCAGGATATCACCTTTCTCCTTGTGGATATCTGTCTCTGGTTGCAGTTGGGACACACCCCCATTTGGGGGGTGGTGGTGGTAGAGAGGGTCCTATCTCCCAGGGTTTCAGTGAAACGGACGGTTATGCGAGTAGGCACAGGGCAGGCTCACTATGGATGTGGGGAGGTGGAGGGGAGAGTCCAGGAGCCCTCAGTGGATTTTTCAGGCATTAATGCTCTCAGGGAACCAGGCACACCAGGCAGGGAGGCTGGCATGCAAAGGAGGCAGGCACTGGCCAGGCAGAAAGCGGGGAGGGTGAGGATGGAGTGGTTGATGGGAGGCAGGCAAGCAGGCAACCGAGCCCTCCCAGCACCCCCCCACGAATCTTTATGCTTTCTCTGGGCTCTCAGATGAGGTCCCGTGTTCTCACCTCTTCTGTAGTCATACCGCTTATCCTCTCACAGCTCCTCTGGCTGAGTGACGCCGCCTTTATATACCCGGCCTTTATACACCTGGCCTTTATATGCCTAGGCTCAGGTGTACATACTTATGCAAGCCTACACCCCTACTCCAGGTATCCACGATCAGGCAATCATGCCCCGCACCCACACTCCCAAGTGCCTTCTGTATTAACATGATCAAAACTGCAGGTGAAGGCCGTTGGCATAAAAAACCGCTAAGTCCATTTACCCTGCACAGCCCTTTTAACCTTTACTCACAGTGCCCTCTCCCATGGGTATGAGAGCGTTTGCCAGAAGACAAACAAAACACACAGTGACCATGACATTATAACTGAATCTAGCTGCTCAGCTTTTGCTCCTTCTGTGCTTAAGGCAGCTTCTCTCTCTGGATTTTGTTGTCTGCATATCCAGAAGTTTAAGTTTATGTGGGGTTCTTGCTACACCTAACAATAAAAACTCTAGGTTCATGAGAAATAATAGTTTATCGCCTGAACTTCTTTGGGTCCTTGTACTAAAAATAAGGGTGTTCTGTGGCTAAGCATATGCCATCTGCTCAACTCTGAGAAACTCCCAGGGGCAAAGGGCCAGCCCACTGTTCAGTTAATGGTCCCATGGGCAAGCCACGTCTACTTGGTCTTCTCAGCCCCTTTAGCTTGGAAATGAGGATGGGTCCATCCTTTGTGGGAAAGAGCACGCACATCACCTCAGAGCAAGATGAGGGAATGGAGTGTGTTCTCCAGTGATGCCTCAGGGCAGCGGCCCACGCGCAGCGCAGCTGTGGAGATGTTTGTGTTGGTGGTTTGGTCCCGGACAGAGGTGGGACTTCATCAAATGAACAAGAGGGAGCCTCCCCAGAGCCTCCCTAGAATCAGTTAACAGGCGTTTACAAGTTAGATTTTATTCTCAGAAAGCCTTATTTCCCCAGAAAACAGGGGATGTGACAGTGGCAGCAAGGGGGTCAGACAGGGTGATGGAGTGGGTGTGGGCATCTTCCATTGTGAGGGGCCATTCTCTTGTTTCTCAGAATTTCTGGGAGAGGAGAGGAGTATGTTACAAAGTGAGTCCATAACCAATATCGAAATAAACCCACTCGTTTTGGTTTCTGCAACCACAGTTGGATCATAGTCTATATGTGACTTGTTAGTAATCGCCATCCCGGTGGGCCTGCCCTGTCCCTAGTCACAGGGCGAGAAGGGGCTACAGGGAGCTGTGCTGGCTTTCCCGCTTCGATTTAGCCTTGCCAGTAAAATTCAGAGTCAGGCTAAAGATGTATTTCTGAGCAACCTCCTAATGCAAAGACTTCAGTGCACTGTGCAGTGTGTCTGTGTGTTTGTCAGACAGCCCTTGCTTGACCACTTCCAACCAGCCTCGTCCCATGCATGGGTGTAATAGCTTCTTCTTTTTCTGTGTTCAGCGTGGATAGGAGATGCAGGTGAGAAGAAAATGGGCTCTTGAGAAGGTTGCCCCTTGGGTCGTGTTCTAGCTGTGCACCCCTAGCCTGCTGTGGGTCCAGTGTCTGGCCATCTGGGAATTACAGAGCAATAGCTGGAGGACCCTCCCTCCTGATTGCCTTCCTTCCTCAGATTATTTTTTCATCCTCATGGTTCTAGTGTCCATACATCCTGGGTGGGGCCACATGCAGCCTGCTGCACAAGGTTGGGCGGTGTGTGCACTGCAAAAATGCACCCAGTTGAGAGATTTGGGGTGAATCTGTTCATGCTGTGTCTGTCTGGAGGAAAGCACCCCCAGGGAGTGTCTGGGGGAGAGTCATATGAATGGTATGAATGAGCTAGTGGTGACTGGGACACATGGTTTGAAATGGCTTCTGTTCCTGCTACCAAGACTTTTGACTTGCTGGAGACAGGATCTTTGGGGAACTTCACAGTGGAAAATTGATAGACTGTGGACCACACATCAGGTCCATGAACGTAATTATTTGGCTTACACAGAGCTGACTCACACAGTGTTTTTAAAATATTTGACTTAGTTGTCTGTATTTCCAATTTAAGTGGTTTTGCATAAGGGTTAGAATTTCTGGTTTTCTATTAGTATTTCCAGGTTGCACTGGGTAGTAGTCAACACGTGGATAACAGTCCTCACATGTGATATGGATTCTCGCACTGAGGATGAAAATTAACTGCTGCATATCATTGCCCTTGGACTCTTTCCTTCTAAAAGAAGGAAAAGTGAAATTTATCCTGTGCTTTGTTTAAAACTGAGAAAATTAAAGGTAGAAGAGGAGGCCATTTCATAAAACTCTGACCTGTTGCACATTTATTTGCCACCCAGTTCCTCTAGCATTTGTGGCCTGTGCTCTTGTGTCAAATTCTATCAGAATCAGACAGTTGCAGGAAACAGAGTAACTCAGTTAAAGCACATACTTCTTCATTTGACCTTTAAATTAAGCTACTGGACCTTCAGAAGAAGCTTGATTTGTCATGTCCCCTTCGCAGTAAGAGACTTAGCTAGAGAAGGTATTCTGTCTCGTTGTCCTCTCCTCTGTCTGAAGTGTCTGTGAAGACACGGGGTTTGGAACCTTCCTGCTGGGCTGGGAAGCTAGGTGATGAGTGGACCACAGCAGCAAGGTCAGAGGGGCCAGCGGGAATGTCGTGATCAGAGAGAGAGAGAGAGCAGAATGGGGGAGGAAGGACAGAGTAGTCAGGAACATGTATGACGTGCTTAACAGTTTCAGGAAGATTGTTTTGGGTGTAGAGGCAGGATTTAGGAGGAAAATATGGTAAACAAGGTGACCACAAAAATGTCAGGCACATAGGTCAAGGGAGTTAGGCTTCATTAGCCAAGGCCAGGAGAGCAAGATAGGGAGGCAATGTGCAAAGGGCAGAGGATTGAAGAGACCGTCTAGCTTAGGGGATGTGTGGACTTTATACAAATTGTTATCCCTTGTGATACCTTTGCTTGGCCCTCAGGGGACAGAGAGACAGCCCAGGCCAAGGGCTAAGGGAAATCACTCTGGAGACAGATCTTTTTCCCAGATGGGAATCTTAGTCTCTCACTGGCTGTGTGAGTTAGATGAGCTCCTTAACACCCTCATGTCTTAGCTGTGTTGTTGGGACAGGAGCTTTGTTGCTGCTTTGCAGCGGGAAATGCCATGAGGGTCACCACATAAGGGGTACAGTAATAGACCTACCTTAGGAAGTTGTCTAACAATGGGAATTAAACGAGTTCATTCTTAGAAAGTGACTAGTTTTGGGGCCTCCCTGGTGGTGCAGGCAGTTGAGCACTGCACTGTGAAGCTGTCTGCAGCCTCTGCAGCATGGGTTCGATCCCGGCCAGCCGGCAAGAATCCCACATGGCGAGGCAGACCTCTCCTGCCTCACCCGCTGCTCCCCTCAGCAATGTATTTCGTCAGTCTGCCTGATCTGTTCCCCGCTCTGTCTCTGGTGAATCCTCTCACCCTCCTGTGCATCTGGCCTGTACCCCTGTTCTTGTATAAATAAATAAATCTTTTAAAAAAAAAAAGGAAGTGACTAGTTTTGTGTCTAACCCATGTCAAATGCCCAAGGAGTATTGATCACTACCAGCGGGCTACCTTTCCCTTGGGAAAATGCAATTGTAGAGACATGGATATCAGATTGGAGGAAGTTGCCCTCTGAGAAAGAAATGGCAGTCTATTTTTCTAAATGCCACCCTAGTCTTTTAAAGGAACTTCCAAACGATGCCACTGGCATAGTGGGGAAACTTTATGAAGGTAGTGACATTCAGAAAGGAATTGAGAAGCTCTCCTACGGCACGAGAAAGCTCAGGAATGTCTTCTGCCAGAAGGCGCTCTTCTCTCAGACACTTGAGAAGCAGGGTTGTGGGGGCTCTCCTGGCTCGACGGGAACACCATCTTGAAATGGGCTCACACAGAGAAACTGATGGGAGAAGGAGAGTCAGCCCTCAGCCTGCACAATGCATGGTGAAGTCTGCCTTTCACGAGAAGGATGTTGTGGTTTGGGCCTGGTTTGTGGGGGCACAGCAAGGTGAGGCTGTTTCAGACAGTATTTGGTGTTGCTGTCTCCCTGCGGTTAGCGTGAAGTGAGCAAAGACACAACAGCATCTGCTTGGAGCTGAGCGCTCAAGGCGAGGATGGAGCCCACCGTGGCCCTTTGGGGCTTTGAACTGCAGCCACAAGACTCTCGTGGCACTTCTTTCCAGATTTGTTTTGACACCAGCTTGAAAACAAAACTTCACTCTACCCTTAAGCTAAGCATTGGAGTGAATGTGCTGGTAGGTTTGTTTATCCTTGCCTCACCAGAATCTTCTATGATGCCTCTGGTAAGCAGAAGATGCTTTGCTAAGTCTTTGTCAGAGAATATGGCAGACAAACTATTGGAAGCAGAAACAGGCAACCCAAATTTGTAATTTTTGATAATATGTCAAATACACCAGTAAAATTGGGGGGATGTATAATATTATAGCAGCATCTCCTCAAATTTGTTCAACGGAGATGTCCCTCTTGGTTCATTAACCCATTCCATATTTATTGTGTCTAGTGAATGACAGAAGTTAGGTGAAGCCGAGTGTGAGAAAAAAATAAGCATAA